CATCATGTGATTGTTTTTTTTTTCTTTATTTGTTCAGTTTAGTTGCTTCTTCGTTTAACTCCACTGATTGCTGTATTGTCCCTTCTTTGACGCCGTTGTCCTTTTAGTCCCTTGTGTTTGGTAGATGGTTGTGAATGTTGGTTAGTTTCCCATCCCCCATTTTACTGTGTTTACTTTTTTTAAATTCATTTATTTGAGCTGAATTTGTGTTTACAGACAGTGTGGGAACTCCGAATATGTCAGTGTAAATAAAGATTAACTCCGGAGGTTATATTATGTGGGTGGGTATTAGATAGTTGTTTTTTCATAGCCTGGATTGGATCTCAAAAGGTCTTGGTGATTTTATTTTTCTTTATTTATATATATATATATATATATATAATTTTTATTTTTTTTACACTTTTCGGTCTGTTTTCAGATACATCCGTTTAGTTTTTTCACACACAAGATGAAAGGAAACCATTCCTGCTCCTTTGCCGCAGCACAGCGCATGGCTAAGTCGCAGTAGCTCGGTTAAAGAAAAAGGCAAAACAAAAAAAAAAAGCCAAAGCTTTCTGCTATTGGTCATATATTTAATGAATGTTCTCTACATGGGTGAGATTTTTGTCAAATGTGCACCCACAAGGCAAGCTTTAGCGTATTTGTAGGAGTTAATTGTGTTTAACCAGCTAAAACCCTTTTCCAGCCTTTTATTTAGTTTGGCCAAGTCTTTTTCCTTTTTGATGTTTTTTCTTTTATTGGCGGCATTGACGTACCTCTGCTTGCTGTTGTGGGTCGTCTGACAAATCGGGTAATTGTGGTATGTGTGAACGAGGGTGCGGCTGTGTTGCAGACAATAAAGCTGTGGGTGTAATTAAACTTGATATTTATGATGGGACTAACCTGTGCTGAGGCAGATTCTGCAGAGCGAACAGTCCAACCCAGCCAAAAGTTGAGAAATCCTCCTGTCGGGTCTAGAAGATTTGAGCTAAATGTCAAAAGTGAGGAGCTAAAGCAGAATGAAACCTGGGTGCACCGATAAGCCAGTTGGATGATAAATCGGCCCAAATAATTTTGGATGATTGGTGATCAGTCAATACTTGACTACCTCTGCAAATTTCTAAAAATCAGCCACTGTTCCCTTTTGAACTGCTGCCAGAGACTCTAATCTGCATGTGCGTGGTCAAACAATAGTCACAATAATTAGTGTCAAGTTGCTATATTTAGCAACTTTTTAAAGGAAAAAAAAAACAGTATTGGCCAAAATTGGAGTTGGCAACTGGGACTTTTTAAAGCTCAGCAATCAGTCAGAAAAAAGCAGTCGGTGCATAGACCTGTCATGATAACAAATGTTCCTGGGTGATAAAATTGTCCCAGAAGTTATTGCAATAACAATTGGTCTCAAAATAATATTATTGCTTATTGCAATTACTATTAATGGCATAATGATGCAGGAACATATTCTCAAAGATCAATAAGCTTTAACTTCTAGTGAACATGTATCCCTGAAACTGGACGACATTTTGAATATCCAGAATAAATAAAAACAAGAACAACAAATAAAATGAATTATGAAGTCTCTGTAGGCAAAATTGTCCTTCAAAAGTAGGATTCGTTGTGACCAAAGCTCCAGACTGAAAACTTGTCATCTAGATTTTGGTGGAAAAAAAGAGAAATGATAAATCATACAAATGGAAACTGAGTTTGTTTTAATTTACCAGCTGATTGATTGATTTTATTCCTTATTAGGACAGGCCAATCGGTGCACTCCTTACATGAAGGTGATCCAGCATAAACCTGTGTTGGCTCTCTGCAGAGACTTTCTCCTGTTTGTTGTTTTTATGGATCTTTCATTTCTTCCTCCACTGACCGACCCGTTTTTTCCCCTTCCTCCTCCTCCTCTTGTCAGGGCGGCCGAGGAAGCCATGATTTCGGATCTGGACGAGAACAACCCCGGCACAGAGTGGGAGCGGGTGGCTCGGCTCTGTGACTTCAACCCCAAGTCCAGCAAGCAGGCCAAAGACGTGTCCCGCATGCGCTCCGTCCTCATCTCCCTAAAGCAGTCCCCGCTGGTCCGTTAGAGACCAGAGAGATCCGGGGAAGTCCATTCCTTGTCATGTTTTTCTTTTCTTTTTGTTTTTTTGTTTTTATTTTTTTCCACCTCACACACCAACGAACCAACTACTGAATCCACAACGTTTATCTTCTAAGGTGAAGGGGGACAGCCCGGGTTTCCATTTTCACGCAGGCCTGTAGAGATTATCCTTTCTCCGCCCCCTTTGAAAGCTTTCCGTCTTTCCGCCTCAGACTAGTCGAGACCTCACGTTTTGTGGCCCCATATTAAAGTCTCGTTGGATTTGACCAAAGCGTTTGGTCTGTGGTCCTTCGTAACACTGTAAGGGTGGTGAGTTGGGACACTAAAAGGGAAAGATTGATATTTGTATTTTTTAAGGCTTACAGCTACACTACATCCTCCGTCGCCTCCAAACAATATCAGAATGCTGTTGTATAACCTCCATCGATTGCCCTCCAACATATCACTTCCTGTTCTCCTTTTAGTGAAGTATTGGTGTCTGTTTTGTATTTCTTTTCTTTTTTGGGGACCAAGCTCCAAATCCAGTGTACTTTACTGTGTGTAGTGCTTCATTGTGGCATATCGTGTTCAAATTTCCAATCTATGCATTTCTTTTGTTTTGGAAACTTCTTTTTCCCCTCATCCAGTCAGAAGTGAAGGAAGTCCAATCATTACAAATCGTGTGACCTGTTTGTATGGGTGTTCAAACCCTAACGGTGTGTGTATGTACTTTGATTGTACCTATGTACATATACAGAAGGCAATATATACAGTATATAAACATTTATGTCACTGAAATTAGACCGTTGTGGTTTTAAAGACTAGATACTAGCTAGTTGTTCCTTGACCATGTTGTATTCATTGTCCATTTGATTTCAGTACAAGTAAAAAAAAGGAAGATAATTTTGCTGTCCTGTCATTTTTCTGCTTGTTATATGGAGACTAGAACTCGGTTACAAATGTCTCAATATCATATGTGTAGTATCTTTAAAATGACAAAATGTTGATGACACCGGATTTATCACTCTTACTCTTAAACAATTGACAAAGTACTCTCTAGACTACAAAGCGAACTCGTAAAAGTTTATGTCCAACATAAACTATGACCAAGCTTCTGGATTCATCTTGAAAAATATTTTTGCCATTTTTTTTTGTTTGTTTTTAAGTCTGTAGAAAATCATTTATCAAAGCTGATTTGACAACTTGTTTTACTCTGAACGTCTTCCAAATGACTGACTATTCATGTCAAATTTGACAAATCCCACACAGAAGAAAATCATGAAAATCCACGGTAACTTTGGACTCTATCCAAATGATTCTGTGAAGAAAATGCCAAACTAAGTGACCAAAAAAGTAAAAAATCAAACTTATCAATACTTGTCCATCTTCCCATACTTGTCCGTTTTGGGCAGGACTCTCGTGCTCACCCACTTCCTGGACAAGGGCATCCACCCAAAAATGATATAAATTGAGCAGAAATCTATATTTTTTGTTTTTCCTTTTCCATACACGTGTTTTCAACAAGAAATGTATATACTTTGTTTTGTTTTTTTTCTTTTCCTTAAACATATTTTTGTCAAGTAATGGAAATATTTTCTTTTCCTGTTCTCCATAGTCATCGTGAACTGGTGTTTTTAATTCAACAGCCTCATGCACTTACAAAAATTGTTCACTTGTTGATGGAATGCCCTTTAAAATAGGTCAGTTTTATTTCTGTCTCTATGCTATATAAAGGAGAACCTCAGGGTTGTGTTTGTTCACCATTACTTACCTTGGATGCTAATCGTTGCGTTAGCTTTCTGACCATACCATACCAACTTTATTTATAAAGCACTTTAAAACAACCACAGCTGATACAAAGTGCTGTACATTAAAATAAAACATATTTACAACAACAACAAAAAAACTCTTACAGTTTAAAAACAAACATACAATTTGAAACTAGATCCCGCTGGAGTTGAAAGCCGAGTAAAATAGATGGGTTTTAAGACGAGCTTGAAAAGAGCTTTAAAAGTCAACATGTAATCATTGAATCTTGATGCCGTCATCCTTGAAGCCCAAATGCTTCAGAGTCTGATGCTTCTTTGAAGTGGTTATTTGGGATGTTACATGTATGTCATGTCAAATCAATTTTGAGTGAAACTT